GAATCGTCCTCTAGTGAAAAACAGCAAAACAGCATAAAGTACTAACTGCCCCTTATGCCACCAGAAACCATGTGAGCCTTTTCTGTCTTGGGGTCTATAACTTTTGGATAGCTAAGAAATTCTGTATGGAGGAAGAAAGCTGGAGTATCTCCCAACATACTTTAGCTTGGATAGAATAAGGGAGGCTGAAATCATTTTGCCCAAGCTCTCGATTTATTTTATAATTTCTAGCATATTGTAATGAAGTAGCTAAATTAAACTATTCCTTAAAGAGGAACCCCCCCTTTTTTTTATTTCCAGTACTTTTTTAGTGTAGTCCTTTAGCTTCCTTTGTGTATGGCTAATAATACTGCAATCTCTGAAAAAGAAACATAGTTTGTACTGTAAGAAGTAGTAGCTTTTATAAAGATATTCATCATACTTTATAAAAGTGATTAGAAAAATGCAAATAACAATCATAAAGAGGTTCCATTTCACAACTACTAACATAATTACAATAATTAAAGTGGAAAATAACCAGTGTTAGAGAGCATAGAAAGAATTTGGAACCCTGTGCATTGCTGGGGGAACAAAGTGATAATGACAGTAAAAGATGTAGAAGATGGTTTGGCAGTTTTTCGTAAATTTAAATACAGAATTATTAGAGTATCCAGCAGTTCTACTCCTAGGTATACACAACAGAATTAATTACAGGAGCCATTTGCTTCTACCAGCTGTTCACAGCAGCATTATTCTTGAGAGCTGGTTGGTGGAAACCCAGAGATTTGGAAAAGTTCTAAGTCATTGGCTGAGACTGGGACCCACGAAGGATCTTGTGACTGACTCCAGGTCTGCCTTATTTCCATGGCCAGGTTAATCCTCCTGAAATGTGCTACCTCCCAGGAAGATGCTTCCCAAATATGTAAATTGAGCCAAAAATACATTTTTTTTCATTTTACAAAAATATATAGGACACCATTATAAAAAAACAAAGTTTGCATTAGTCATTTCTTTCAGAGAAGCCTCTTTCTTAGAAAGTTTGTCTTTGAGAAAAAGCAGCATGGGGATTGACTGAGGTTTGATTGCTGAATTAATTTTTTTGTTCATATTGTATTTCTTATTCTAACAGGAGAGACTCAGCTATACAAGTGTCTTATCCTGGTTAAAAATAAAAATGCAAAGAAAGAAAACTTTGTTAGGTTGTGTGTGCTACCCTTCCCTTCTAGTTCTTGTGTTCTTCCTACCTGGCCCCTTACCATAACGGGCTAGATGTAGGAGTGAGCGGAGAGGAAGACTATGACCACAACATAACTGCTAGGCTACACATTACTGTTAGATTGTTAGGTGAGGGGCATGGTATTAATACGTGACCAAGCCCCAAATCTTGAAAATGTAACAATGTGTAGAAATGGAGCAGAGAGAGTCATTACTTGCACTTTAAATCTGTTGTTAAGTCCATTCATGGATTTTATATTCAGCCTTTCCTCCTCAGCTTAGCTATTCTTAGTCCTGTAACCTAGGTAATATTCCCTCTCTGGAACTCAGTTTTTAAATCTGTCTAATGCAAGTAATAACACAAGTCTGGGTTATTATGAGGATTATCGATAATATTTGTGAAATTCTAACATGGTGCCAGTCATATGGTCACAAAATTAAATACATATATATGAATACATACACACCATTTAAAAAGTGACTAAATCTAGACTCTAAATCACTTAACGAAACTTTCAGCTTTGTCTGGACCTCAACCCCTGCAAAAATTACGAAAATCACACTAAGTTTGACAAAACACCAGAAAGTAAAAGCTGGGCAAAAATCAACTGACAGTAAAGGCAAGAAAGTAGTTTCCTTAGCCCTCTGGCTTGAGGCTCACAAAGCAAGCTGAGTTGTCTTGCAAAACCTCAGACGTCTCAGTTTTGCCCTAGGTGTTACAGAGCTCTGAAAATGGGAGGAATGGGCTATTCTGGCCCCTGTTTTCTGCTCGGGGCTAACTGTATATACTAGCATAACACATACAGATACACTAGTATAACAGCAGCACACTCAAACTTGTTCAACTCTGACTTTTGGAAGAGCAGGAAAAAGGCTGGGGAATGAAAACAAGCCAAAGCCAAGTCCACAACTTCAGGGTGAGCTATCTTCCCCTTCCCTGCCCACAGCTCACTGGCTCTAGAAGGTGGAGGTGGACTCAGAAAAGTCAGTCTGTTCCCCCCACCCCCCAACAAAATCAAAAGCTCAAGAACATAGATTTGGAGACTACCACTAAGAAAAAGCCAGGTTTTGCAGCTCTTGTGTAGCTCACCCACAACACACAGGATTTCCTACCAGTGCCTGAGAGTGTGTTATGAATGGAGAGGAAAAGATGAAAGGAGAAACATCTCCAGTGAGACAGTTCCTGACTCAAACAAAAGGAACTGTGAAGCAAGAGATACTGGCACAGAAGTGCCCTCACTCTTAGAGAACTATCATCATCATGGCCTAGAAATAATCACTGCAGAGTTCTAAGATTACAAGACCATTTTTATAAGTTTATATGAAATGACTACATATATTTATGCATTAACTTACACAGAGAGCTCCCCAGAGGCTTTTGCCTAAATACTGTCAGTGGTCATGGAAATTGTGTGATTTGCACACCTTTATGTTTTCATAATGACCATATGCTACTTATACAGAAAGTGCATTTTTTGCAAACTTATATTGTTCCTGATTAGCACCCTGTGAATTCATGAATTGGCTGCTTAATTTTAAGGTCCAAACTCTCCACATGCCATTAAGCATATTTCTGATTCATCTCTCCTAGTAACAAATCGTTAACTTGGAAGATTGTGTTATTTCAATATTGCTCTGAAAACAACAGTGAGAAGCATACATTAGTCAATCTTGTAAAGCCAAATGTAAGTGAGACTTTACCAGCCATGTCACTTATAATAAGTACTTTTAATTAGTAGGCAATAATTAGGTAATTGTTAATATTAATGACAAGTAGACAGAACTGATTATTATAGAAATGATGCATTGGAGACTGGAGAAGTTAATCAGCTTATCTCTGTCTGACTTTGCACTTTGCTGTGAGGGTTTTGTGTGATCTCACTAGATGTGAAACACAACTGCCTGATACCTTCAGCTTCACCTAACGTGCTTCTAAAATGTCATCTGTCCTTAGTGTGACAGTCACTTACTTAGTTGCTTTCTCTCAAGTTGATCTATGGCTTTACATAGGCTTTGTTTGACTTATACCCTAAACATATCCTCACAATTTTACTTTAGGGCATATTTGTAGGTTGCTTCTGCTTTATTCCTGAATAAGGCTCAAAGACATTATCCTACTATATAGTTATACTGTCAGCACTGAGAAATGATGTTCAAGAATAGATTTTCTACAGCACTGTCATTTTAGGTGATTTAGACCCTGAAGGAACTTGGCCTGCTTAGAATTACTGAATGACTTCCATTAGTGTAACTCAGGAATATAACAATTCTTTTCAGGAGAAATCAATTTCAAATTCTCATGTCTGAAAAGCTTATTGTATATTTTAATTCTGATTTTGTTAAGTTTAACCCCACCCTACAGCCTAAATTTGATTCTTTTAATATTATATATACATTATTTTAAAGTCTGATTATTTTCCTATATAACATCTTTAAAACTTTTCTGTGTATTTAAATAGGTTTACATAGTTCTGATTGTGTGAAATTCTGCATCTAGACTTACACTGAAAGCCTCGGTCATTATTATAATCATATGGTAAGTCTACTCCTTTGGTAGTCAGCCGCTTCGTAAATTCATATGTTGCCAGTAATTTCTTACAATCATAACATGGTTTGTATCAGAATTTGGGCTTGTTAAATTTCTTTAAAAAATTAATCTTGTGATTTTTCTTATGTTCTTAAAAACTAAGATAAAAAATAACATAATTAAAAACAGGAATCATCGATTATCTAAAGCAGACATGACAGGTTTATTCACTTACTCTCAAGGTAGCTTGCTCTGTGAAAAAAAGTTAAAATCAAAGCAACTTTGAAAGACATAGGACTGTGTTTTTTTTTTTTTTTAAAGATTTATTTTTATTTATTCGTACAGAACTGGGGTACAGGCCAGAAATGCGGAGGGTGAGAGGATTCACCCGGGACAGAGTGGGGAGCAGAACAGGCAGATCGACGAAGTACACTGCTGAGGGGAGCAGTGGGCGGGCCAGGAGAGGTCTGCCACGCCATGTGGTCACCTCTGGGGCAGGCGGGAATCGAACTCATGCGCAAGTGACTTAAGCTTCTCAATGCAGTGCTCTAACCCACTGTGCCACCAGAGAGGGCCCAGGACTGTGTTTTTTAGATATCTGGTTAACTTCATATTTGAAGTTTGTATTTTCTATAAATGGCATCTAAGTGTGAGAAAGTATGTTATTTGCCTTTAGTAACTAAGGAATCTATATGTATAGGAACATGAACCTACAGGAACACTATTCTAGAACAAGTATCTGGTTCTATATTGAAGATATTCTGGCACAGATGCTGAATTTCCTTAGCAATCTACAGACTTCAAGGAACATAGACATGATAACTGGCTGATGCAATAAAACTGAGTAGGGAACTCTGTGTATTTGAACATTAGCTGTCATGTAAAATAACTGTTTTCACGGACTCGTTCATCTGTAGTAAAATCTTGGGGTAGAACAAATCCTTTAATAAAATCTTTAATTGTACCTTGCTAAAACAATTTGTTATAATTACCCATCAAATCATCATCAGTTATCTGTTGCCTCATTGCTTCTCCTGCTGTAATAGTGGTTAAATCTCACCTCCTGTATGTTGAGTTTGGGGGCCAAAAACATGCATCTCAGCTGTCTGGAAAAGGTGAATTCTGTGTCTTCTGACTTACAGTCTTGGAGCAAAATTCTCTTTGCCTCTTCTAGTACTCCCTCAGTACTTCTAGGAAAGTTAATTCTACCAACTGATCTCCTTGTGGGCTGTTATCTGTCTCAGAGTCAGAATTAAGATCCCATTTTCTTTTCTTATAGCATCAGAGGCTCCTTGAAATGCTAGATACAGAGAAAGAACTGTTAAAAGAAAAAATAAAAGAAGCTTTGATTCAGCAATCTCAAGAACAAAAGGTAATACTGTAAGTTTGCTCTGAGTGTGGAAAAAATACATTCTGTTATCTCATATAATGCAGTTAGTGTCTACCTAACTGTCCTATCATTTACAGGAAATACTGGAAAAATGTTTGGAGGTAGAAAGACAGAAAAATAAAGAGGCATTAGTATCTGCTGCAGAGGTATGTCTATAATTATGTGTTTCTTTGTAAGTAAGTGAAATTAAATTGAGTCTATTTGTGGCATTGTTCATTTACTTTGTATACTATGACAATATTTCATTTCAGAAAAAGAGTTGTCATATTCCTGTTAAATTCATATTGTGCAAGACTGATGACTTAAATGTTTTACTTTAAAATTACCTATGAAAAGGTATATATATATTTGGGATATTACATCCATTTGGTATTTAATCAATATTACAAATGTGCTATGTATTCATTTACTTACCAAGATTTTTAAAGCCAACTTTGAAATTACTCATTTAAGTGGTGTATTCATAGATGTTAAATATACATATCAAACACTAACTTTTGAGCTTGGGTTTAAAATTAGTAGATTAAAAGCCTCAGATGTGTGGGTTACTATGCCAGGGTTCCAAGATTACTATAATTTGGGCCTTTATTAAAAGAATTTATAATTAAATAAGAAACATTATTTCTATACCAGTAGGAAGGAATGTAGTATACACTATTATGAGTAAATAATAGTTCCACGAAGTGGGAGTTTTAACATGTTACTTTTGAAATGAATTTTGAAGGGTAGTTAGCATTCTATATTTTAAGTTTGAATTTTATTCCACAAATAGAGATACATGGGAAATTTTCAGTTTAAGACATAATGGTAATTAATAAACTTTGGGGGAATTGGAAGCAAAATGGTTAGAGACAGGAGATTTACTAGAAATCCATTAATCTGAAAAAAGACATTATGAATGGCAGGAAAAAAGTAGTCACTGCAGTAACAGAAAAAATAATTCTTTAGGAAAAAAAAACAGATTCCATCTCCTAAGCATTTGCAGAATTCATCTTTAGGTTTGGTATGGATGATACAGAAGGGGCCATGTTCTCCCTTATATTCAAGTGACATAGACAAGAAGGTAACTAAATGTTCCTGATATTTACAAAGAAATAATTTCAAGTATATAAAGTAACAAGTAGTCCAAAGTCCAAGTTTTAAGTAACTCTAAAATTTAAACTCTAGAGAAAGGAGGAAGTTGTAAAGAACTGCAGAGACTCTTCTAGAGAAGTAGGAGATATATAAGCAGCATTATATGGTGCAAACCAAGAAAGATGGCTTCAAGGAAACAAATAGTCAGCTGAGTGACGTTACACTTTGAGGAAAAGCAAAATTGGATTAAAACACAAAATGTCACTGATGACAAAGGAGAGCACAATAAGAACAATTTAAGAGAAGAATGGTGTGCTAAAATGTGTTCAGAAAATGGTCAGCTTTGATAACTTGTCCATTTTGGTTGCTAACTAGAAGCTAGAGAAAAACTAGTAACTCTGTGGGTACTAGGGCTGAGGTCAGTGGCCCTGGCTGCTTCCTAAAGCATGATGGGCTTTTTGAGGGAAATGTCTGTGTAGTTATTTGAGTTGCAACAGAAGTAAGCACTATTTTTTTTTTCTCATAGAACACCATTTTACTGAATAACTGGGGTTGTACAGACTTTAGTGTTTGGCAAAGGTCGTCTTCCAAAATAAACAGAGTGAGCCTGGCACCTTAAAAAAAATGAATTTTTGTTGCCAATGATAAAATTCAAGATTTAGAGTAAAAATTAGAATTAAAAAAATTATTTCTTCTTTCCTAATATTTTTAAGACTTTCCTGATGAGATTGAGGGTAATATTAGACATGGAATTATTTTTTTATTATGGAATATTGATTCAGTATTTTCCAAATAAAGTTTTAAAAATTCATGCACAGATAAGATTCATTCAAAGTGTGAGAGATGATTATAATGTAACAGCACTAAAAATTCATTGATGTTTTATGATTTTCCTTATTGCAACTGACCTTTAAGAATGATGAAGTATTAAGTTTTGTTGTGGAATCATCCAGAATATATCTAGTGACCTAAGCTGGTTAGTATAGTACAGCTCTCTTCTGCTATATAACTGTACAGAGTATGTTTTCTTTTAAATTACAGCTATAAAACAGACTTCTGCAGGCAGATACAGGAATATTGTTATCTTCTATTGTTAGTGTTAATGCCATATTCACACTTTGTTATAAAAATAATATTTATTTTAAGTACAGCAACACTATCAACTTAACAATATAATGTAAGTTTCTGGTACATAGCATTATAAACCAACACCTACATGTAGTACATTAAGTTCACCACTATAAGTTCAACCATTCTGCACTATACAATGGAACCAATTTATCTACCCCTCTTCCCTTCTGGTAACTGATCTGGTTTTATAATCCAAAAAGTCCATGTATATTTTGTTTAGTACATTTGATTGGATGGTTTCTATATGTACCACATATGTAGGAAATCAGTGTTTCTTTAAGTGTAATTCTAAGTCCATCCATGTTGTTGCAAATGGGAGCTTTTCATTTTTTAGTGTTAAGTAGTATTCCATTGAATGTATATGTGTATTTTATATATATAAATTTTATATTATTTTATATTTATATTTTATATTATTATTATATTTTATAATATATTTTATAATTATATAATGTATATAATATATAACATGTATATTATATATTAATATGTATTATATGTTATATATTAAGTCCATCCATGTTGTTGCAAATGGGAGCTTTTCATTTTTTAGTGTTAAGTAGTATTCCATTGAATGTATATGTGTA